AGCCCACCCTCCCTCCAGAGAAGTGAGCAAAAGCAAGTGGCGGCTCTTTTGCTTGGTTGTCAAGCCTGCGTGTCTTTCCATCAGGCCTTGTCAAGACATCAGCCATTACGTGCAGTCATTCATTTTGACTTGCCACTTCCCTCTCCTTGGCTGCGCCGCAAGTCCTTCTTAGACATTTCTTGCATTTCCTCTGGTTGAGGGCGAGCTGTGATTGCAAAGCCACCTTCGAGGAGTGCCTACTGAAAGGCCAGCCACACACTGAGCTCCATGATTCGATGGGTGTATTCCAGCTGGCCCCCTCTACCTGATGCCATACCCTCTCTCTTGAATTGTAAGCTGTGGAAGCTTACCACTAACTCTTTGCCAACTTGTTGGTCCTGTACCTTCGGCATGTCCTCGAGTGGTTGCATCTCCAGCTTGTTGTCGACCATCAATGCTTCCTTCTTATCTTTCTGTTGTCTGTTGCCGCTGATGTTCTTGTTGGCTGGTTCGGATTGAAGAGCATCCTCAGCGTACGACAACACCACAGATGACTTCCATCTTCCCAAGAAGGCCAGCTCTTGGATTGGCATTCCCAATCTCACGTAGTTCATGGCACCCGATCTTCTTGCCGAGTGCCCTTGAACCCCTTCACCAATCGTCATCGTCCACCCCTCCACCATCTTGGCCTTGGACAGACGTTTGCGCTCTGTGTCCTGGAAGATGTACTCCTGGGGTTCACGCTCAGCCCCGCGATACGCCTTCCAGATCTCGCTCCACACCCTCCAGCAGCACCATCTCGGGCAAGACCTGCACATGCAGCATTGAAGTGTTCGCCTCACTCCCAAACCTTGTTGATCACACTTCGACAAAGGGATAAAGATGGTCACCCTCTTTCTTGCATTGCAGGTGGTCACGTCCCTCCATCTCATGGCGCTCACCTCAATCTCTCTCAGCATCCAGATCACCGCCCAGGCGTAGGACAAGGCTGGTCTCTTCGTTCTTTTAGGTCCCTGGCAACATTGCATCCACTTCAGCTGCTCGATGTCATCCAGCTTCATCTCAGGAGCTCGTCTGACCGGGCCTCGATTCCTTCCCATGGACCTTTTGCAGTCAGCCAGCAACTTGTTCATCTGGACGTTCACCTCGAAGCCAGCTTCAATATGCATGAGCTTGAGTTCATTCAAATATTGATCTCCCGGAGACCATCCTCCAGCCTTAATTGCTGCTGCCACATCTTCAATGGTGCTCAGCTGGAGTGGGAAGACTTGTCTTCTTTCCCCCAAGCTCGCTTTGGCCATATCTTCGTTTTCTGAGCTGCCCTGGATGATTTTGCCAAGAAGTCACCCCTGAGAGCCTCCTTGGCCTGCTTCAACTTTGCCTGGCCCTGCAGGATGTCCATGACGGCTTCGAAGGACCCTCTCTTCGGACCCACTGCGTGCTCCTTCTTCTCATTCTCCACCTTCACCTCCAAGTGCTCTTCACGTGCCCGTCGGTTTTCTCCTCGCTCGATCACTCTGTCCTTTTCCATCCTGGAGTTAATTACTAAACCTGCCATGCACTTCAGGGGGTCATGACCTTCCCTTGCGGGCGCTTCTCTGGAGTGAGGCTGACTGGTCGCACCACCTTCTGGACTCCTGTTGGAGAGACTGTTCGATGCCTTGCTGGGGGTGAAATTGCACGAATCGAGTCCCCTTTTCTTCCCTTTTCCTTTGCCCATGTCGGAGAGCCCAGGTCCACAATCTCCGCCCCACTCTCCCTTCCTGGTTGCCGCGGAGAAGCTCTACTGCAGCGCCAGCAGCAGCGGACGAACGTCCACAGCCGCAGCCAAAGAAGAACCAGCCCGCTAGCGCGGCAAACTCCCCGAAGGACCACCCTTGTGGCCTGTCCTCTGGGGGAGGGATGGATTGCACGGCGGCCTCCATTGAGCTTGAGGTGGCTTCAGATGGGTCCACTGTGTCCGCCTCCCCTCAACCCATCACCGTCCGAGTCCATCCACCCTTCACGAAAACAACAGTCGTCCGAAAAGTTCAAGCGCGACCCCAAAACAAAGCGAAACGTGGGGGGGGAAAAGAGCGAAATCCCCCATCCTTCCACGACTCGTGAGCGGTACCCTGCGGCTCGACCGCAGCCACCGAGTCCCATTCAGGTGAGGCTCTCCTCTCCTGTCCTCCCCCCCCCCACTTCGCTCCCTCAAGCCGAGAATGGTGCTCTCTCTCCCTTTTCGCACCATCCCTTCACAGCAGCTCGAAGGCTCCCGACACCTGATTTGCCGAAGTGCCCCACAATTGTGGGTTGGCGCCAGGTGGACTCAGGTATGATCCTCTTGATGGGGACATTTGCCAGTCGCTCCGGCTTGCTGTCACTCCGCTCATGTGGCCTGGAAAGCCAATCCGCCTCCACATTCCAGTTACCAGGGATGTGCTGCACGATGATCCGGCGGATGCCATGCTTGTCGCACCTGATTGCCAACTCCACCCCAATCCAGTTGATGACCGGGGAAGGCGAAGACAACCGCTTTGCCATGGCCAGGGCCACCACGCTATCACTCCTCAGCACCACACTCTTTCCTTCCAGTCGATGAGCCCATCTTCGGAAAGCCAATTTCACTGCCCAGGCCTCCAACGGGCCTTGTGATGCCGATTCCTTCCAAGGCACTCCCAACCATGTTGCATCCGCTTCCAACACGGGGATCTCGAGGGCCTCCAAAATGGTGAAGGTTTGCCCCACATTGTGATCAACCGTTGCCAAAATCGCCCCAATGCCCTGCGGAGAGGCGTCCGTCACGATGGCAAAGCCCGGCAACCTCTCTTCCATCGGCTCGGAGCGCAGAGCCAACGAGTCTGGGTCCTTGAACAGGGTGACAAACCAGCGCCTGGGTAGTTCTAGGCGACTGACACCAGCCCTATTTTTGGCCTCTGGTCGACACGCTTGGTTGCTCTTTTCTTTTCTTCATCTTCTGCCCGTTTCGTGTCGGCTACCACTGCATACATAACGCTGACAGCCCAGCGAGCACGCGGAAGGATCCCCGCGACCCAGGAGAGGCGCCCCGTCACCTGCTGCACCTCGCGGAGGCTCACCATCCCCTTTTGCTCCCAAGACTCCAGCGTCGAGCGGATCTCCATCATCATCTTCCTGGGTACCGTCAGCTTGATCATCGCTTCGGCCAGGTCGATCTCAAACATCACCCCGATCCAAGTCAGCTGACATCCTCGTGCTCCTTTATGCCATGCCAGGTTGATTCCCAGCGCTCTGGCTGTGTAGAGCAAAAGGGCGAGGTTCCTGTTCCTTCTCGACGTCGGGCCTCGCAGGATCCATATTGGGTCGTCCATGTACAGCTGACTCTGCATTTCCGAGGGCGCAATGAGGGACTGCCATAACCTTGCCAGGCACGCAGCGAACCTTCCCATTAAGAAACTTTGAAGCCAAATAACATTGCGACCCACATGAGGGTTTCGGATTGATAAATGCCTGGGCTCAAGCAGTTTGCGTGCTCTTCAGGATGAACCGGTAGATGGCAATAGGCGTCGCTCAGGTCTGCCGTGATCATCTCAAAGTCGTAGACGCCGCCCTCCGGCCTGTCCTCGTCGAGGGTCCATTCTTCATCCTTCGCCTTGATTGCCATCCTCTCCTTGGTCTTCCATAAGAACCTGAAGCTGTCCACCACATCCACCACCCTAGGCAGAACAATCCGCTCCGGCACTCTGCATCGTGCATTGCCCCCCGACCTTAGCAGGTCCACAATGATCCTTCTCTTCACGCTGCCATCGTCCTTCTCCTTGACCAGGAGGGCGAGCTTCGACACTGTGCCCCTGGCATGCATCTCCCCGGCCTTGCCCGTCGGGAGGACCACCGCGAAGCCTTCACCGACCAGCCGCCCCAACTCGGCTGTTGCATGGACGGGCTCATCCGTGAAGCTCTTATAGTTTGACATGCCAAGTTGCTCGGCCAACTCTGGTGCTTCTTCCATCTCTTGTTCTGGATCGTCTGCTTTCGGAAAGATTCCGCAGCAGGAGATGCCCTTGCTCATGCCCAGCGGTACTCCACGCCTGATCCATTCCACCAGGTGCTTCTCGGGGTCCAATGCCGCTCTGAGCCAACCTTCCCACAGCTCTGGATCCAGCGGAGAGTCGAACTCGTCCTGGAATGTCCTGGTCTGGAAGAACTGCTTGAGGGCTCCCTTCCATGCCATCTCGACTTCCATGCTGGGTCGACAGCCGGCTATCCCGTAGTTCTTTGCCACATCCAAAGCCTCCGGGTACCCTGCAATGAAACGATCCCAGATCCTTGACACGTCCATTCCGACCTGCCTCAGCTTCGACAACTTCTCCACTGCCCTGCCTGGATTTCGCATGCCTCCAATGTACCTTTCATTTTCCTCCTCTCTCCTGGCTTTCTTCGACATTCCCACCATCGGCCTGATGTCATGACTCGTTTGAGTCTGCTCCCAAACCCTTTTGGACGGGTCCGCTTGGTTGTCCTTCAGGAGGTCCCTGATAGATGCGTTCCTTGCTTGCGATCCACCTTTTCTTCAATGCCGACACCTCTTGCTCTTTGGTCTTGAGCATGTGCCTCCAATACTCCAACTGCATCATGTGCTTGGAGGCGATGATCACCAGCTTGCAGTATTCCTCGCATAACTGCCTGGGGTATTGGGCGGCCGCTGCGGTTCGACGAGACCCTACAAGAGGTTCATGACGGATCCATTGACCGCAAGTGCACGATCTCTTCAACTTCTCGAGGACCAACAACCTACCAGCAAAACGTCCTGGTTTGTACCACCTGGTTCTCTCACCCTCTTGAAAGGCGCAGGTGTTATAGTCCGCCACCTGCGCCTCAAACGCTTCCATGAATGCTTTCTGGAAGCTCCCACGCCGGTCCTTCTTCGCGTGTCTCGGATCCAGGAGGGTTTTCTAAGGTTCCGGACTGTGGCACCTTGCGTTTCCTCTGGCTCTTCAGGATGGCCCCGATGACTTCCACCAACCTGTGGCCAGAAGGGTTCCCACATCGGCCAACAGTTGCTCTTCCGCCGAATTCGAAGGCAGCCCATAGATGTGCTGCAATGACCTCACTGGTGGAGGTCCCCTGAAGTCCATGTTCCACCTTGCCCTGCTGAAAGTGTTGCACGGGAACCCAGCGTGCCCTGCATCGAAAGCATGCTTCTCTGCCTCGTCCTTGAGCTCCAGAAAGGGGTGATCCTTCGCGAGGTCCACGTCTCCTTCACCTTTCTTATCCAGACTATACACCTCGACCTGAATCCCCTCCTTGCTGGCCATGTTCTTCAGGCAGTCCCCCAGAACGTCGACCTCCCCACTGAACATGCGCAAGAACCGGCAAACCCAGGAACTCGGTCCGGGAGGTCATCCACATCCATCGCTTCTGGCCCTGTTGACGCGCTCGCCATGGCCACCGCCCGAGCTTTCTGCCCCTTTTCGGAGCGTCCCGCCCCACTGCAGCCAGGCCACCCCGCTCATCACATACCAAGCCGCTCATGAAGCATCATCGAACCCGAACGATCGATCGACCGACCCCGAACCACGATTCGAAACACCTCGACCTATGAACCACACTCTTCAACCCAGACATCCCCCCTAACCTTCACCCCCCAAAAAAATGCAAGAACACGCGTATCTGCCCAACCCCCCCCTCTCGCATCACACGAGAAGGCTCAGCACCTTCCTGCCCTAGCCCCCTTCAGGGTCACGAGGGAGATGCTGACTTGTTTGGGCACTCCGCGTTGGGATGTCCAGGTGAAAAGCAAACCATGCACTTGTGCGCACGGCGAACCCTACCTTTGCACTCTGATCCTGCTGGGAGTCCGGCACAAGGTCCTACTCCCTTCGCCCAGCTGAAGCAGATTTCCTGTCCAGCTTGATCTTTGCCTTTTCCTTTGCCCTTGCCTTTGCTGGCTTCTCCTTTGGAGCGTTGTTCTCTGAAGCCTGCAAGCTCTTCCCGCTCGGAGGCCATCTCTTTCTCTTCGCCATCCTCTTGTCCCGGTTGGCCTTCTGTCGTCGTCGTCACCACGTTCTGCAGGAGGTCCAGGAATGTGTGCCATGGCAATCGTCTCCGCTGGGGGCTTCGGTGAACCATGTGCTCCACTGGCTAACCAAGCGGCTGCTGGGTGGCGAACTTGTTCATTCCAAAACCTTTCATCCAGAGCTAATGCCCTAAAGCACGCAGTCCACGGCTCTGCCTCAGTATATTCCCTTGGTGGTGCTCCTCCTGCTGCTATGTCCAAGGCAATGGATCGTCTGATCTTCTCCAACTTCTCCGCTCTGGCCTTGTCGTCGGCCTGTGCGATCAAGCCCCAGGCTTTGGGCCACTGGAGCACCAACTTCTCTATGACCTTTTCATACAGGAGGAGGGCGGCCAAAGTAACCAGGTTCAACGAAATGCACGCTACCTTGAACACTCTCCAACTCACCAGCCACTGCTGTAGGTTTTGTGGCCCTGGCAGGTCCTTCATCACGAACGAACCGTCCCCTATGGGAAGAAAAGCTCGGAACTTCTGGTTCTTCAATACCCTCCTACCGAAAGGCAACCATACGGAGAAGTCCACATAGGGTGGCTGGTTCTGTACTCGAACTCGATGATGTAGTGCGGCTAATTGCGCATCAGTTGGCTCTTCTTCTTCATGAGGGGGAGCTCCCATCACTGCAATGTACCTTTGAGCCCATTCGTTCAACATGACTGCATCAGGAAGTTTCGTTTCTGAATCGTCTGTCTGGTCCACGATGTTGGCCATCTTCAACACATTGTCTTTGGTGCCCCCACTGCCTCCACTTCCAGAGGCTGCACCACTTGTCCTTGCCATTCCGCCACCTGTTCCTTCAGCAGGTCCCGGAGTTGTCTCAGGCATCCATGGGTCCCTATCCACAAAAGTGTCTGGGTTTCCGCCTCCTTGCAAATGGATGACCCACCTAGCATTGCGCCATACCAACCCCACCTGAGCCGCCTGAATTGGGGTCAAACGCTCACCGGACGCGAGGGTAGCCGAACTGACAATCTGGGGAATCGTCCACACCGGCATGGCCGCAATCAACCGAAGATCATTACCTGGATCCCCAGCTGTCAGAACAAAGGCGTCCCACAAATGGTCCGGGACATTGAGGCCCGTCAGGAGGTCCGGCACCGAAGAAATCGCTTGGGCCGCAGGCACCCCTAACAAAACCATCAGAACATGGCGGCTCGCGCAACCCTGAAAAGTAAACCTGAACCAGGTCAGGTCTTTGAGCCTCTGGCTCAAAGGTGGGGTTTAAGCTTCATGCCCTCCCACCCGCCTGAACAAACTTTTCAGCTCTTGTGTCATGCAGTACCTATGGTACTTTCACATACATTGCAGGAGCAAACAAAAGAGAGCTGAGAATGGGAAAAAATGAATAACACCCGTCTCGTTCTTCCAATCCTTCTCCGACACGCTTCCGCCCAACCTTCATCTTCCGCATTGGCTCGGAAGCGGCCGCGAGCGCGGAATGCGAGCATACGTTGACGTTCAAGCTCGGCCTCATGTTCTCCTGAGTGAGAAGTCCTTGTCTTTGACAAGAAACACTGTGAGTCTTGGGATCGCAGCTTATTGCTACTAGTAGCGATGCTCTTTGTTACTAGTAGCTTCTTGTTACTAGTAGTAAGGCCAGGAGCTACTAGTAGCTTTCTTTGCCAGTGTGCCAAAGTTTGATCTATGATCAGAGTCCATTTTTATACTGGAAAGACCGGCCAAATATAGACAGGAGCCCAAACTTCCAGAGATTTGTCTCCATGATGGTTCGTGTCCGTGGTGCCATGGAACCAATGAACATAGCACACGATGTTTTCGTGGACGAAGCCCCAGGAGTTGAAGCTTTGGAGGTCGATCATTGGCACTTGAATACCATACCATAATAGCAATGGCCTCCAACCTAAGAGCGATGGCCTCCAACCTAGAAGCATGGTGATGGGTTTATCACCTGGACTCATTCAGTCAAGTCTCTGAAACGATCATTGATGATGCGGTTGTTGCCTCGGTCATGCAGGAGCTGACCCTTTAACCAGTCGCCAATGGACTGTCGGAAGTCCTTTCACTCTCGGTAATCTGCTTGAAGAATGATGACCAATGAGAATGACACCAAGTTCAACAGCAAAACTTGCATATCATATCATGGCATCAGCCCCTACATTGCCCCGTCGATCAGCCCCTACATTGCCCTGTCGATCTGGTGACTGTCAGTATATTGAAATGCTATGCCAATACTGTCACAAAAGCAATCTCCTTGAGGGCAACATCTTTGAGCTAAGCTAATAAGTGCTGTCCAACACTGCCGTCTTCCTCTGCCAAGCAACTCTTGCCGGAAAAGTTCCACTTCTTCTCACCCGACTTGGCCTTGCGCGCCTCTACTCGCCGGCGACGTGCTTCACCCTGGCCGGGGTGAGTGTCAGCGAGCTGACAAGTCTCACAAGCTACAACGAACTACCTCGGCCCCTCATTGCCCCTCATTGTTCATGCTGCTATGAAATTTGAGAGTCGGATCAATTCTATCAGCCTTGCAATGAGCTTCACAAGGCCTTCGGCTGGCTCTCTTGTGGAAGTTTGGTTGACTGCTTGTCGCAAACATCTGTAAACTCTGTAAACATCTGTAAACTAGTGTAAGTAAAAAAAAAAAAAAACATTCCCCACCGTGGAATGTTCACGATCCCTTGTGTCTTTGGACACTTACATAGGGAAAAAAGGGAGGTCAGAAATCCGTGTTGAGCCGAAGCATCTGCACCTATCTGGTGGACCAACCCGCGACGTTTCCGAACTGCCAACATCGGTGGGGTGCCTTGGACACCTGCACCGGTGCCTCCCGCCTCTGGGTCGAGCTTCAAGCGCAAGGCGGCAATCTTCTCTTCGGCCTCTTTCAGTTCCTGGTTGAAAAGCTCTTCGCAAGCCACCGGTCACTGGAGTTGAAGTTGACAAGTTCAGCCCAAGCATTTGGTCCAGAAACAACTGGCTATTTCATGCTCTTTCTATGTGCGTCTGCCCAATCTTGGGAGACACCCCCCATCTCAGGACGTGGTGCACAGTTTTCGGGGTGGCTGTGATGGAAAGTGGATAAAGTGCACAACACGTTTATGCAAAACACAATTCGTGACGAGTGGATGTATTCATCACTCCGCGGCCCTTCAATCCATGCTGTGATCGCCGTTTTTCACTCACCGGGTCATATTGTTCAACGGAAAAAAGCATGGACAGTACAAACCAATATGATACAAAGGTGTATATATTTATACATACACACAAAATACAGTTATCATCAAAGTGCTCTTGAACTACGTTTGTGTTTCAACGCAACCTTCCCTGCATGCTCACATCCGTCCTCTTCCGATGCACCCATGCCCGCAGCATCTTCCAGGGCGAGGTTGGCCTGTTCCACATCATCCTGAGAAATAGCATACCTCAGATCTCAATCTCATGTCTTGCAACAAGAAGCCTGCAAGGAATGAGCTCGGTAAACAGAATACAGTAAATGGAGAACAAGCAGCACATTGGAATTTGGCAACAGGTTGGAATATTGAAAATATTGATTCGGCCAGGGAGTGACTGTACAAAGGGGCAACCACAAACAGAGAGGCTGCCCACGCCAAAGGGGCTCAAGATCTTCAAAAGCCAATTGGATGCATTCTTTCTTTTCCTGCACATGTGCCGTTTCGCCAGCCATGAACAGCCTCACTTGGTTCAATATCCAATCAAATAAAGCTTTCCGGCTAATATGCTATAGGAGTGTCTTTAGTGATAATTTAAGGAGTAAGCCTACGTACCACCAGTGTGAGTTTTTGTCGTATCCATCTCGAAGCTTTGGTGAAGCGCCTCTTCTTCTAGCACCTCCAGCCGAGTTTGGGCTTCCTCAAGTGCCAAACCAGCATCCTGCGCCTTCTGAATCGCCTGACACTGTTTGCACCCTCTCACAAACACTCTTTCAGGAGAAACGAACCAAAACAGCGGACATGTTTAATGTGCTTTGTCAGGTTCTCCACACTTTATTTTTTCTCTCCCTCTCTCCCTCTTTCTTTCTTTCTCCCTCTTTCTCTCTTTCTCCCTCTTTCTCCCTCTTTCTCCCTCTTTCTCCCTCTTTCTC